CCACCCGGGGCACTTGACAAGCACCCGCCAGTGACACGGCTTAGGGCTTGATTCTGTACAGTGCTGAGCAATTTCTGGAGGTGCCAGGTGCCTTCACTTCCCACTGACATTCACAGGAGTTAAAGGGACCCAGCCAGCACCTTGCAGTACAGAGCCTTTGGCTGGGGAGCTAGCCCATGACCATACGTTCTTGGGGTTGGAACATGCCTCTGACTGGCCCTTTGATTTTAGTAATAAAATGACCCTCAAGCTTGTAAACATGATGGAAAGGGGCAGGGTCAATGTAAAAGCAGACACGGCTTCTCGGGCATGTTACTAACACCTTAGATGATTAAAGGGACATGCTCAACTTAGACCCATCACTTTTCTCTTGAATGTTTTACCTGCTTACTAGAAGTGGCAGCTAATGTCACCGTAATGGCTAGAGATTAGCCAGAAAATGAGGCTTTTCTCTATTTTCCCAGTTCTGTGTACAGTGTCCATTTGACAGCACTCTGTGCATCATCAATTTCACCGTTCCACAATAGTCAGTTTCCAGGACTGCCTGGGTGAGATTTTCATCCAGCAACAGGAGAAAACAATTTCTTTTAAAGCGGAAAATACGTGGCAGTGAAACCCACTGGGGTCAGCAGGGACAGAACCCAAAAGGCTTTTGACAGCATGTTCTGAAACTGACTAAATGTCAAGCTGATGCTGTCCTTTTCAAGTTGAAATGATCTTAAAAATCTCCCCGGCCTGTCCCCATTTTTGCTGTTTACTTGGGCAGTTTGTGCTTTACACACAGACCCATTTGATTGTTTCCTTCTTTATTTGAAATGTTGCCAGATCCCAGCTGCAAGAGACACAGGCCTCGCGTTCACGAGAGAGATGCAGCATTGCTCCAGCCAGCTGCAGTATCACGTACAGGTTATTGTGGAGGTACCTCAGCTAAACCACCAGCCCACACAGAGCCTCCACACTCCTGTGGCTTCCCGAGGCCAAGCTGGATGCAGTGGGTACCTGTTATACTGGAGCAGGTTGGTAGCTTATTGGAGCTGTTTGAGGCTGCAACCACAGCAGCCAGACTCTCCAAGGCGCTTTAGACTTGAGGCCGTTTCACAGGAAGAGCTTGGGCCAGGGGAAAGGCACCATTGCTGTTTCTGTCCAGTTTAACTGTCCAGCTCTCATTCAGGATTAGATCAAGGCCGTTTGGTTTGGGTGTTTGGCACCACAGGGGGATGTAGCCAGGGCTAGGGCTGAACAAAGAGGCAGGGATCGGCTGTTGACCTGCCCTGTTAGCCAGGTTAGAGCCCTGCACGAATTGCTGCTTCACTGCGGCACATGCCGTTTTTGAACTTCATCGGACTCTGAGAGGTGGCGTGGCCCTTTAGGGAGAGGGAACTCGGGGCAGAGCCAGGGAGGTCTTGCAGGGAGCCCTAGGAACAATCCAACCTGGGGAGAAAGCTTAGGTGGAGGTTTCTACTCTGTTATTGTTCCTTGAGTTAGTCATTAAGCCCATCCCCAGGGGTAAGCTTGACCCTCTACGACCAGGGTACGTACCGTCTGGTACACAGTTACTGTTGATGTTTCAAAGAGCACTTCACAAACCTAGACTGCAGTCCTGGGCTGCGTTACCAGGACCACCTTCCCCCTGCCCTCCTCCTTGGGCTCTCCTGGGAAGAATTAAGTGTTGAAGGCAAGTTCCCTCATTGTCATTTCAGTGTGAAAACTAACTGCAATACAGGTCTGTCTCATCTTACACTGGGGTTACGTTCCTCAGTCAGCGCCTAAAGCAAAAATCACGTATAGTCAAAATTACATTGAGTGTAATGGCGGGCGGAATCGCCCGCACTATAGCAACAGTATTTAAATTGTTATTTTTCCCTCTTTTTTCGTTTTTGCCGACCGTGTAAAGCTGAAATAGCACATGTTAAATGCGCCTAAGATGCGACAGACCTGTAGTCATTTGCACCTCAGGTTGGAAACAGAATCCAAGAGCCTTTCCCCCAAGGTGCTGTGCTTATATGCGGCTACAGCACCTTGGGCTGGGCTGGTGTTAGCTCCGTGGGGTTTGCTTAGGTCGGTATTTGGAGGGGAGCCCTTCCTGGAAAAGTGGGACTTATCAGAAGCGGTATTTGTGGGAGACAGCCCGCTTCCCTCCATCTCTGGGCCACACCCATGCCCAGCATGATATTACGGGGCTGTCTCTTGGATGAGATCTAAGACTAAGGTCCGACCATCGCTGGGAATTAAAAATTCCGTGACAATTTCCATAAGTGCAGGGTGGCTGTGTTCCAGTTTGAATACTTGCATTCTATCTAAATCCCACCTGAGGCTATCATCTCTTGTCCTAATCTGGTGTGTGGTATTGCTGTGCACTGTTAAACAGCTGCCATTCCCTCACCCCCAATCCTCCCCAGAGCTGGCTGCATTTCACTGGTGGGAGAAGTGATTGCTGGGTCTTTGCTAAGGGTCTGGAAAAGTGCTGCAGGAGGAAAAGCAATATGACGCTGAAGTATGATATGAGCTGACCTCTGGCTGGTTATCCCTTTGGACACAGTCATCTCAGCATGGCTGGACCCTCGACACGGCCGCACTGATTTCTGGACTCAGTGAGGAAACATGAGCAATCATGTGAAGAAGTTTCCATTAAATTGGCATGGGAAGAATTGAGTGACGCTTTTATGCCTCTCGGGATCTCCATGGCGATGGCTGTGTCAGTAGAGCCCCTCGGCTCTCATCCGATGGAGAAAAGGGCATTGTGCCTATTTAGCAGGGCGGAGGAAGTATTCTGGCTAACAGGCACCACAGGTTGATGTCGATAACTGCCTGGCATTTGGACTCTGGGCTGCCCACAGTCTGTATTACTGGGGACAGCCCGGAAGGGGGCGTGCTTGGTTTACAAACAGTGTTCCAGGCAGGTGCAATTCACCTTCTGTACTGATCCATTCAGGGAGGAGACATCAGCCAGCCTCAGGATGGTGCCATGGGGCAGGCCCTTCCCGATCGCTATGCTGGACACCTCCCCAGGCATCAAAGTGCGGTTCCAGATGGCAAAGCCGCTCAGGCGTCCCACAAAGGCTTCTGAGGGGTCAAACCCACCCCCTACCACATCCTGCTCCTGACCCAGAACAAGCGACCCGCCGGGGGGGATCTCATAGCCCTCCTGGAACTTGGAGCCCATGGATGCCAGTCTCCTGTCCACATAGAACCAGTACTTGCCCTGGATGGAGGACCAGATGACACACATGTGGTGCCATCCACCGTCCAGGAGCTGCTCCACCGGCAGCTCCCGGAAAGCTGGGTCACCGATGACGAAGTGGATGGAGGCCAGGGCTGCGGTGTTCCGGCCATGCAGGACGAGCTTGTTGTCATTCTCCTCCGTGGCGTAGGACAGGATGGTGCCCAGGGAGCGAGCGTGGGTGCTCACCCAGCTGCAGACCGACAGCTCGTGCAGGCTGGTCTGGAAGCCCTGGCCGAAGGTGGCAAAGTTTTCAGTGGACTTGTTGGGGAAAAGCAGCATGGAATCCACATTGCAAACTGGAGAGGGGAGAGAGAGAGAGCCACAGTCACTGCCTGTCCCGAGCACATGGGGCTGCTGCTCATGCATGCACTGTGACGATGGACCAGCCTCCTGGCCCCCCTCCCCCGCCATAAGAACATAACATAAGAACAGCCATACCGGGTCACACCAATGGTCCATCTAGCCCAGTATCCTGTCTTCTGACAGTGGCCAATGCCAGGTTCCCCAGAGGGAATGAACAGAACAGGTAATCATCAAGTGATCCATTCCCTGTTGCTCATTCCCAGCTTCTGGGAAACAGAGGCTAGGGACACCATCCCTGCCCATCCTGGCTAATAGCCATTGATGGACCTATCCTCCATTAACTTATCTAGTTCTTTTTTGAATCCTGTTACGGTCTCAGCCTTCGCAACATCCTCTGGCAATGAGTTCCACAGACTGACTGTGTGTTGTATGAAGAAATACTTTCTTTTGTTTGTTTTAAACCTGCTGCCTATTAATTTCATTTGGTGACCCCTAGTTCTTGTATTATGAGGGGTAAATAACACTTCCTTATTTACTTTCTGCACACCAGTCATGATTTTATAGACCTCTATCATATCCCCCCTTAGTTGTCTCTTTTCCAAGCTGAAAAGTCCCAGTCTTATTAATCTCTCCTCATACGGAAACTGTTCCATACCCCTAATTATTTTTGTTGCCCTTTTCTGAACGTTTTCCAATTCCATTATATCTTTTTTGAGATGGGGCAACCACATCTGCCCATGCAGTATTCAAGCTGTGGGTGTACCCTGGATTTATATAGAAGCAATATGATATTTTCTGTCTTATTATCTATCCCTTTCTTAATGATTCCCAATATTCTGTTTGTTTTTATGACCACTGCTGCACATTGAGTGGATGTTTTTAGAGAACTATCCACAATGACACCAACATCTCTTTCTTGAGTGATAACAGCTAATTTAGATCTCCATCATTGCATATGTATAGTCGGGAATATGTTTTCCAATGTGCATTACTTTTGCATTTATCAGCACTGAATTTCATCTGCCGTTTTGTTACTCGGGCACCCAGTTTTGAGAGATTCTTTTGTAACCCTTCACAGTCTGCCTGGGACTTAACTATCTTGAGTAGTTTTGTATCATCTGCAAATTTTGCCACCTCCCTGTTTATCCCTTTTTCCAGATCATTTATGAACACATTGAACAGCACTGGTCCCAGTACAGACCCTTGGGGGACACCACTATTTACCTCTCTCCGTTCTGAAAACTGACCATTTATTCCTACCCTTTGTTTCCTATCTTTTAACCAGTTACCAATCCATGAGAGAACCTTCCCTCTTATCCCATGACAACTTACTTTGCTTAAGAGCCTCTAGTGAGGGACCTTGTCAAAGGCTTTCTGAAAATCTAAGTACACTATATCCATTGGATCCCCCTTGTCCACATGTTTGTTGGCCCCCCCAAAGAATTCTAGCAGATTGGTGAGGCATGATTTCCCTTTACAAAAACCATGTTGACTCTTCCCCAACAAATAATGTTAATCTATGTGTCTGACAATTTTGTTCTTTACTATAGTTTCAATCAGTTTGCGCAGTACTGAAGTCAGGCTTACGGGCCTGTAATTGCCGTGATCACCTCTGGAGCCCTTTTTAAAAATTGGTGTCACATTAGCTAGCCTCCAGTCATTTGGTACAGAAGCTGATTTAAATGATAGGTTACAAACTACAGTTAGTAGTTCTGTAATTTCACATTTGAGTCCCTTCAGAACTCTTGGGTGATACCAGCTGGTCCTGGTGACTTATTACTGTTTGGTGACCCCACTGTACCTGAGGGTCAGTCAAGGACAGCTCTCCCTGCCCCCCAGCTGTCTGAGCACAGTGATCACGCAATTAGGCACTCTCCCTTTCACCTGGCATAGGAGCTGCCCTGCAAGCAGCCCCACGTATTTTCCCCCCACCCCATCTAGATAATAATCTCTAGTGCCTCCATCTGGGGAATCCCAGGTGCTTCATGAACATGACACACGGGGAGGCAAAGGGCCAGGTTTTCAGTGGCACTGAGTCGTTCTGGCCACTCCGCAACTCAGATAAATCAGCCAGCGGGTGACTAGCCCCAAGTCACCCATGGAGTCTGTGCCAGAGCTGAACCTAGCTAGAACCCAGCTCTCCTGATCCCCAGCCGGGGCCTGAGCCCCCAGGCCGCCCTCCCGCTCCTAGCAGGCACAATTGCAGGCATGGCAGCACCTTGCATGACACAGAATTTGGGGCTATCGATCCTTGTCCCAGAATGGCACTGCTGGGGGTGACGTGAGTGAGCTGGCTGGGGGGCAGCGCCCTCAGCCTCACCCCCTCACTCAAACCCCACCAGCACAGTGTAGCATGGCTATCACTAACCTCCCCCTCACCTCGAGCGTCAGCAGGCAGTGAGCTAGACTGGCCGGTGGAGACAGGATGCAGCCATGGATATTGTTATTTGCACTAAAGATTCACCCAGGAAGAGGCTGCACCCTCCTTGCAGGACCTGTCTGGTTGTCTCCTGCGGGGTCCCAGGTGCCTTGAGCTGTCCTGCAAACCCCTGCTGAGTTGTTACTTCCCCCTGCAGAACTGCAGCATTTCAATGAGGGCCTGTTGTTTTCAACAGAGCAATCCCCAGAGAGCCATGCCAACAACCCAGAGCCGGCCAGAAGTTCCCTGAGCTTGTACTATGAGAAACCTCATCAGTCCAGGAGAGCGTAGGCTCAGGTGGAGATGGACAGCCAGCATGCAGCTTCAAAAAGTCACTCCGGTGGGAATGACGCCTCTGTGTGCGTTATAACAATGATGTGGGTGGAACCAGACAATCACTATGCCCTGGAATGAACTTGTGCTTCAAACTGATCTACACAAAAGACCCCGCCCCACCCGGCGACAAAGCGATCACTCCATGTCTGACCTCCCAGGCCTCGTCCTCAAAGGAAACCCGCACCACACCTTCCAAAGACGAGAGCCATAGGTGCCGATTCTATGGGTGTTCCATGGCTGGAGCACCCACGGAAAAAAATAGTGGGTGCTCAGCACACACCGACAGCCCCACCAATCAGCTCCTCCCACTCCTCTCCCGTGCCTCCCTCCCACCGGCGGGCTGGAAGCACTGTGGCGGGGGAGGGAGCAGGGGCAGGAAGAGGCAGAGCGAGGGCAGGAAGAGGTGGGGTCGGGGTGGGGCCTTGGGGGAAGGGGTAGAGTGGGGGTCGAAAGCGCAGTAATGCAACACCCCTTTCACACTGGTGCTGCGGCACTCCGGCAGGGGCGCATCAAACGTTATTCCACTCGCTGAGGTGGAGTATCAGGAGCGCTCTAGCCGTGGAGTCAGAGCGCTCTACCTGCCTTGCCAGTGTGGACGGGGAGTGAGCTAGTGGATCCGGGGCTCCTTTAATGCGCTGTAACTCGCAAGTGTAGCCAAGCCCTAAGATTCTGGGACCCACATGGCAACACCACCAGTGACCACACCGATGTCAGCCCAGAGCAGGGCAGGGGCTGAACCTTTGTGGAGCAACAGTGCCATCCAGTGGCTGCTCTACAATCCCTCGGACCTGCTCTGTTTCTGACTGACAATGATGCTGCACTAGTTGGGGCGACAGCGCAGGGCCTCGTCTGAGAATCTCATGCCAGTGGATCCACCCAGCCTCATGGGTTTAACTGGCTCAATGAACCCTCCACTCGGCCGGCTGCTCTCCCTTCCTCTGGAAAGCCTCCCTGGTCGGATCTATGTCACGGCCCTGTTTGATGTTGGAGAGGCTGTGGGGTTGGAGGGAACAGGGGTGTGACACCTGGTTGGATGCAAAAGAAGAGACGCAGCTCGGTCATGGCAATAGCTCAGGAGTTTGGGGAGATGGGATGATCTCTCAGTCCCTGCCAAGGCGGCCAAAGAAAGATCCCCAAAGGCTGCAGGCATCCTAACAAGAAAGCATCACCAGGAATAGCTACCTTTGAGATCACCTGTCCACTGGCCCCAGCCCTCCCAGAGGCCATCTGTTTCTGGTGTAGCCAAAGGCCTGGACAAGAAGTTTAAACTTGATACAGGAGACAAGGGGGAGGCAGCAGAGGACCCTGAGTATTCAAGGCTGCAGAGAGATGAGGGAGGCTGAAGAAGGAACAGAAGCCCAGAGGTGATGCAGCAACAGCAAAGACTCTGTTCAAGGAGCGTAGACTAGTAGGAGAGACAGGAGTCAGAGGCTGGGTGGTGGGATGGGTTTTTTGGTGGATGGCACATCCTGCCAGGGGCTTGTCCATTGAGGGAGAGGAGCCAGGGGAGGGAGGGAGAGCAGGGGCTGTGGGCAAGGGCGACTAGGTATGGGGGTCAGAAGTGGAGAGTAACTGAGCGATCTCAGAGTCCATGAGCAGGATCCAGAAGGAGAGGGGAAGGGACTGGGGAAGGGGAGAAGCTCACACCATCTCTTGTCCAGCCCACCCTCTTCAGTGCCCACTCCCAGCAGAGAGGGATTCCGAAAGGCCCAGAGAGCAGCTTGCCTGGTGCACTGGAGATCCCCCTTACAGAGCCAGCCTGAGCTTGGGATTCCAGGGAGAGCCCCCGTAGCAATGCTGCTGGTGAGACCCCTGAGTGACTCTCTCCAGCAGAGCCTGCCGGCTCCATTGCTACATCCGCTAAGCATCCCCTCTCCCCCAGGGCTTCCCGCACAGCCCCCCTGAGACTCTTCCCCCTCTGGGCTCTCCACTCCTCGCTCCGTGATGATGGGGACATGCTGCAGAGTTGCAAAGCAGTACTGAGGCCAGTCAATGCCAGAGGGGAAGAGAACTCAGCAGTCTAAGACCTGTCAGGGCGAGCAGAGAGATCCTGAACAGCACTGTCCAGTGCACGTGGGATCAGAATGAGGCTAAGGCTGAGATGGAGCATAGAAACCAATAGAAAATCCTGCTTCATGCATGTGGGAAAATATCAACGCTCCCAACTTCCAACCTCCCCCCCGCCCAGCACAATTCCCAGCCAGCTCGGCTGGTGCTTTAAAACCCAGCCCGATCTATAAAAGAAGAAGTGTTGGTCCAGCACTTGTTGGGTGATGTGAGGCCAACCTTTCTGATGAGTAAGGTGGTTTATTTATGGTTGGTGTTTTAAGAATTACAACACAACTGACCAGCTCAGCTGCTGAAACCTTCCAAAAATCTCTGCACAGTGCATAGGGCCTGAATTCTCACTGACACTACAGCCATCTAGATCACTCTGGCAGTGTAAAGGGGCCTGAAGGGGGCTGGGGGATTACATTTACACTGACGCACAGCTCCTTTATGCTGCCAGAATGGTATAAGGGTGCCCTAGCACAACTGAGAATTCAGGCCTGGCCATGGAAAAGTTCAGCCCCAAAGGAATTTGTTTGCCAAAATTATGAGCAGCTGACAAAAGGGGAGTTAGAATGGAAGTTGTACGTTGCGCCCATCACCTCTAGAAGGTTTTCCCAGGCACCTGCTGTAATGCAGCGTATGTGCCCTATATCGCACGTGTCACATGCGCACAATTATGTATAAAAAGAATGTTAAAAGAACATAAGAACAGCCGTACTTGGTCAGCCCAATGGTCCATCCAGCCCAGTATCCTGTCTTCCAATAGTGGCCAGTGCCAGACGCTTCAGAGGGAATGAATAGAACAGGGCAATTTATCAAGTGATCCATCCCCTTTTGCCCAGTCCCAGCTTCTGGCAGACAGAGGTTTAGGGACACCCAAAGCATGGGGGTTGTGTCCCTGACCAGCTTGGCTAATAGCCAGTGATGGGCCTATCCTCTGTGAGCTTATCTAATTCTTTTTTGAACCCAGTTATACTTTGGGCCTTCACAGCATCCCCTCGCAATGAGTTCCACAGGTTGACTGTGCACTGTGTGAAGAAGTACTTCCTTTTGTTTGTTTTAAATCTACCACCTATTGATTGCATTGGGTAAAGGGGTAAATAACACTTCTCTATTTACTTTCTTCAGCCCATGCATGATTTTATACACCTCTATCATAACGTTCTTCAGGTTGTAAAACCTAGCACTTGAAAATTAGGAAATATCAGATTTAGAGTTGCCCACACAACCTTAATTTGGCCCCATGTGCAGAAAAATAGTACATAATCATGTAATCAAAGATTCTAAGGCATATGAACAGAGGGGTGAATTAAGTTTGCAAAGGCAACCACAGACCTGGCATTTCCTAACTTTCAAGTGCTGGATTTTGCAGCCTAAATAATGTACGTCTTTTAACATAATTTTTTGTATGTAATATCCTAGGTTATTTTTAAAAGGCAAAATAAAGCTAGATTCTATTATGTGCAACTAACACAAGCTCCCCATCATGCATCAGTGTCAAAGTTTGAATCCTAAACTTTCAGCACTACACCGCAGCCTGCTACCATTCGACATGCAAGTCTAACTACATTAGCTAGCAGCAAGAGAAGGCTGTAATCCCAGAGTGGGGAGAATGGTCTGTTGGCACCATGTGTTGTGCTCAGGGGACCGTCAGAAGGAGTCCAACCAAGCTCTCTCTCTTCCCAGGACAAAGAAAAGGCATCTCTCTAGCCTGAGGGGTTTTGGTCTGCTGACGATCAAAGGCCCGCTGCAAGCAATGGAAGGCTGAGCTTTCCTTCTACAAAAGCACCCCCTAGCATAACATCATGTGGGTATGTGTGCTGGGAAGACAGAGAGAATGTAAACATCTCAACATACTTGTGCCTGGCTTCTCAGGTGACGGTGACTGCAGCTGCTCTTGTGAGATCTTGGCCACCCTGCGGAGCTGCTGCCTGGCAGCTTGTGGCTCTGGCACAGTGGGTGTCTCTGGCTGTCTCTCCTGCCCGGGGGTCTTATTGCCATGGAACAGGCTACTCTGCAGCCTCCTCTTTGCAGCCTGGGCCAGGAGCTGCTGCCTCTTTTCCCCCAGCTTCTTCCTTTGTTTGTGCTTGGCATGCAGCTTCTTCACGCGGTGTCCCTGGCTTCCCCCTGCCTCCGGCAGCTTGTCCTGGGGTGTCTGGTTCAGTCGTTGGGCCGCAGCCAGCTCATGGTGCCCAGATGCCAGGACCTCCTTGTGCAGCGTGTTCTTCAGCTGCTGCTCCAGAGCCTCCATTTTGGTTCCCTGGCTCCGACTGGCCTCTCGCAGGCTCGCCAGCTCTTTCTGTAGGGTGTTCCTGCTGGCGCGCAGGGCAGTGAGGTCCGCCGTGTGGCCTGCAGTCTGCAGGGTTAGGTTGGACAGAAGAGCGCTCAGCTGCAGCCTCTCCCCAGAGCTCTGCTTGCGGCTTTCACTCAGGGACTCAGCCAACGACGAGAGTTTAGAAGCCAGCTTTTTGGTTCTTCTCTGTAGCTTCTTCATCCAGGTTTTCAAAGAGCCCAGGTCCTCCCGCAGGGCGGCATGCGACGCATTGAGAGCAGCCGCAACGGTGTCGTACTGCT